CCCCCGGCTTTTTTTTTTTTGCTATTGCTAACAAGAGACAAGCATGATAAGCCTCATGTGCAGTGCATAGTTGAGAAAGATTTTAACAAAATAAGTGCAAGTATTCATTATCAGCCTATGCTGTAGATTTTGTACTTTGTGTACATATTACTCCAAGCAGAAGACTGTAAGGACTTCAGTATTGCACTGTAGATCTGACTTCTACACAGCAACGTAGTCTTGACGCAAGAGACATGGGAGAGAGGAGTTGCTTCTTTTTATAGCACTTTTCTAGTGAAACGGTTTTATTGTTGAAGATGAACAAAATATGGAACAGGAGATGCTGGAACGTACATACCCTTTCTTAGTTTGAAAGTATTAGTGTCTATTAATAACTGCTGGTTTTCTACATAAGATGCTAGAGAAGGGCCTGTTCTCTCAGCCATTATTTGTTCATGCGTTGCAGACTAATACACAAAGCCACGAGGTTTGTATCCATGTTAATATCTGACATATTTGAACAACTCTTACAATCAATGCTGGTTCCGATGCTCCTTTGTCTCCTATGTCTGTCTGTGAGCTGTTTTCTAGTCTCCTCAGGCTGTTCCTAGACAACGTAAGGGGTCAGTTAGCTCCGTGTGTGCCAGGGGAGTTTGCCCCAGTTACAGCTGGAGCCCTCACGCCATTTGATGCAGCAGAAAATCTTACTATGATTTCAGAAACCCAAGCAAGATCTGCATGAGTATTCGGTGCTGTCTGAAATGTTATCCTTACTTGCCAAAATAGAGTGTGGATTTGCCTAGCTGATACAAAGGCTCGACACCTGATTTTTCTTACTGGAGATGATATCCTGCAGGTCCCGTGAGCTTCCTGTGCTGGACCGGTGGTGCTGGCCGGCATAGTCCTCTGTGCCGCTGCTGTGTGTAACCTTCACTTCTCTTGCAGTCAGGGGTGATTCAGGCTGAAGGGCAGCTGTAGAAGCAGCCATAATGGCTTTGCTTGAAAATAACTCTTGCTTTTTCCTCTCTAACTTTGTGCATGGATTTTGATCTCTCTCTTCTTTCGTTTCCAAGCAGTTCTGCAATGCTTCTCGGTGGGTTGTTTTTAGCATCTGACAATTACTATTGCAAAGACTAGTTCAGTTCCATTCCAGCCTTTGAAACCCCTATAAGACATTTTTATATTTAAGCCTTTTTAAAATGTCATGAGACCTAATAATGTCTCTACAACTCCCACTGCCTTCATGGAGATGCCAGTGCAACGGCAGGGCAGCATCTATCTGCGATTATTCACACAGCTGCGATGTTCTGTAATGTATCGTTATCACTGCGGTGTTTTCCCTGTATGTGGTATGGAGATCCCTGAGGAGACCGAGTCCAGCAGAGCACAAGGAACAACTAATACGAACAAAACAGGCTCAATCCCTCCTGCAGAATCACTGGCAGATCCCCCAAGCTGCCTTTGGTGGCTGTGAGAGGAGGTCCCACGAGACTGCGTGGGCGATGGAGATGCTCGGGTGCTCCCGGCGATGCAGGATGGTGGTGTGGGGGCGTCAGCACCCCAAGTCCCAGACTAGCAGCCTAGAGCAGACTGGGAACCAGTGACGCCCGGTGTGGCTGCCTTTCATGCTGTGTAAATAATCTATGTTTTGGGTGTGCTAGATCAATTGCATTGTAAATTAAACCTGTATTAATAAATAAATTGTGTAATTGTGTTTGTTTCTATATAAATGAACTAGTCTGATTTTTGTGTGTGTGTAATCTGCCAGTCTTACAAGGGAAATTTATTTAAATTGAACCAATGCCTGTCAAGATGTTAGCTATTAAAAGTTCCATACAAATCTAAATTAAAGGGTAATATCTTCGCAATCTTCCAGGGAGCTATGTAGAGAATGACTATAGTTAGGAAGAGAGTGAAAAATACCATATTGCTTGGGGATGCTCGTTAATCGTTACGAAACATTCCACATTCCACTTGTAAATGAGTATTACTTCATAAACCTTGTATTCGGATCTGCTTCCTCATAACCAGGATCTGGTGGGTTTGTGTGTGCTGGGACAGCCGGTGGCATCATTCCTCTTGTGCTCTTACAGCCGGTAGTCTTGGGCTAATGTTATTCTGGAGTGATGGCGTAGCTGTAGAGTTATGGCCCTCAGACTAACGCTGGAGAACGAAGATCCATCGTTTTTAGGGACTGTATGGGTAAGTTTTTGCTAAAACTGTACTTGAAGTAATAGGTGCCTCCTGCAGATAGCATTTGAGGATTTTATTGTACACATGCTTAAGTTTTATTTCTCATGTGGAGCGTTTTCCTGAATTAAAGGAATAATGATTTTTCTTTAAGGATTAAAATGTTTTATAATGTAAAGAGTAAACGTTGGAAGTAAATGCTTTAGCCTTTTTTGAAGAACTACAGTTTAAAAAAGTGAACAGATCTGTTTTGTTTTGTTTTTAAAAAAAAAAAAAACAGAAGATATTCTGATGAAAGACATTCAGGTAAAATTGTCTGTCTGGAGTAAACAGGCAGTTCTGATGTCTGGTACAGCTCCTGTATTCCATTACAGGCTTTGTCCTTAACTGCTGTTTGCCAACAGAATGCTTTTTCATGAGGGAGTGACAACATGTTTTTTGTGGAGATATTTATGCATCCTGTAAACTCTTCAGCTTGGAGATGTGCCTTGACACACTGCTCATACCTGGCGAGCAGGATGGTAACTCACTATTTCTCAAGTTGGTTGTTTTTCGCTCCCCCCCCCCCCCCCCAGTCAAACTTCATTCAATCTCAGAACTCGCTGTTTTTCTGAAATGTCCTTCACGGGTTCAGATGCGGTGAGACAAGGTCATGGAAGACGCTGATACATCTTGTTGAGTTGCTATTACTGCCTCCATAACATCTTTCCAGGATCACGAGGTGAACACCGTTGACTGTAAAAATTCTCTGCGCAAGATCTTGAATGAATCATGAGACGTATGGGTTGATGAAGGTTGAGACATTTCAGGCAAAGTCGCTTACTGCGTTTACTTGCTACCCTCTATCTCAGGACTTAATGAGGACTTAATGAGGACTGGCAATTACTAGCTTTGACCAGCCAGGTATGTATTTCCAGCACTAATTTAACTCTGTCTTTCAGTTTCTCCACCATCAGGTGCTTTAAATTGGAAGCAACATGGACTGAGTGGAGTACTAACACAGGTTTTCCTTTGATCTGCGTTTCAGAATCTCAAGCTTGCTTTAAAGCTTGGCTCAAATTTTGCTCTTAAAAATCAATTCCTTGCTTTCTACTACTGTAGAGCTCTTAAATAATTTTCAGAAACAGCATGCAGTGCATTTCCGAGAACCTTTTAAGCAATATTCGGACTAAAAGGTGTCAAATCAGAAGTGTTTTAATGGACAAAGATAATAGCACTGCAGGCTGCCTGTTTCTTTGCTGGAGGAGAAATATTATAGCCCCTTTCATTTTAAAGCTGTTCCAAGGTTTCCTCTCTGCAATCCAGAAATTCAAACATTTCTCAATTAGTAATACTTATTATTTCCATGCAACACTTGTTGACTGGCTTGAGGCAGCTTCCTTCCTGAATCTAGCCAACAAAATTCGTGTCGAGAGAAAATACCAGGGAGGAGAATCACGAACAGCTCTTCTGCGACTTGCAAGAGAAAAATGTGAGCAGTAGCTGGAGTGTCCACCCACACGTGTATTGTAAAAACAAGCAGCCAGAATATTGCTATATTCTAATTCCTTTTCCCAGAGCAAAGCAGGCACATGATTAATGTAACAAACAGCTCTGAATAATAAGCAATATCGCTTTATATGCATGGTCTGTAGCTACAAGGTACTCGGCGCTCTCTAGAAGAGTAAATGCGCATCTTAAACATCGTCTGCCATCTTCTAGAGTTTCTGTAGCGTAAATTAAGTACTTCAAAAGCATCTAAGAGCTTATGAAAATGCTAAAGACCCCTTAAAACTAATTGCAGCATAGCAGC